TGTTCATCATCGCCCGTCTCCGTGCTAAAACTAAAGTCAAAGAGGTTCTCATCCGTAGATTGCTATTCACTGACGATGCAACCTTGACATCAAACACGGAAGATGGATTTCAGCAGCTGTTATGTCGCCTCTCCCAAGCCTGCAAGGAGTTTGGACTGACAATGTCTGAATAAGACTCCCTTCCCACCATCGCCATCGATGGCTACAATCTGGAAGTTGTTGAGAACTTCACATACCTTGGTTCCACCATTTCCAACTCGCTTTGCGGTGATGTTGTGGTGAACGGCATGATTGTCAAGGCATCAGCAGCTATGGCCAGACTGAACCATAGGGTCTGGAACAACTCCAACCTCACAGAGAACACCAAAGGGCTTGCCTACTAGGCCTTCGTGCTCAGCACACTCCTCTACAGTAGCGAGACATGGACCACGTACGCGAGTCACGAGATGAAACTCAACAGCTTCCAACTGAGATACATACGGCACATTTTCGCATCCATTGGCAGGACAAAGTACTCAACACAGAGGTTCTGGAACGCGTCAACATGAACAGCTTGTTCTCCATTCTCAGAGAGGCGCCTTCACTGGCTCAATCACGTCAAGAGAATGGATCCAGCCCTCATTCATATGATCCTGCTATACGGCAATCTTACAGAATGAGCACGCCTGACTGGACGGCCACGTTTGCGTTACCAAAATGTCTGAAAGAAGGACATGAAGAGGGCCAACATCAACGTTTGAACAACGACTAGGAGAGCTGTGCTGACTCAGGCTCCGCCCGGCGTCTTGCTATCAGACAGGGCGTTTAGAAAGGCGAGGAAACGAGAAACAAACCTTGTTGCAAAGAAAGCCAGGAGGAAGGCGAAACAATATCAGCCTCAGCAAGCATCGAAGTTCATCTGCTTTAAGTGCAACAGAGATTGTCACTAAAGAGTCAGACTCTTCAGTCACTCGCGAAGGTGCAGATAGGATACCCAACTGGAAGCTATACCATTATCTCCCAAAGATGGACGGATGCCGACAATGTTTTGTTACTATGCAGTATATACTTTTATCTCGCACGATAACATCTTTTTTTGTATTACATTATGTATGAATATTTATTATGGGTCAGTAACCTATATTACAAATAAAATCTATTATTATTATTATTATTATTATTATTATTATTATTATTATTATTATTATTATTATTATTATTATTATTATTATTAATATATATATATATATATATATATATATATATATATATATATATATATATATATATATATATATAATTTTATATATTTTATATATATATATAATTTTATATATTTTATATATATATATAATTTTAAAATGTCACAAGTCATTTTTCAGAATAGACTAATGTGTACACATTGTTTCCAGGACAGGCGAAGTTAGATTTCTTCAAGCAATTTGAAGCTCAATGAAGCAGTGGTTTTCATCAGTTGTCTGTTAAAGCTACGTTAAAAATCCAACACACACACACACACACACATTTGTCAGTAGCAGACAGCACATGGTTTTCCTCGTAGGGATAACAAATATATGTAAAGCAAAATAGGTAAAAAATATGAAAACGTCTCTTAAGTTTCTCTACACAGTGAAAGTTGGGAAGCTAAGAACTTTCTATTTCTCTTTTTTATCCTTACTCAGTAAGTTTGTAAAGAAATTTATTCCTAACAACCTAAATTTCATTCCCCTTAAGTACTTTTCTTGTCCAAGAAGAATCGTGTTCTTGTTTAGAAACAGATTGTCCTTGATGTTTGTTTGTCTCAATGCAATGAAATGGTTGTTTAGTTAACTTTGAATATAGTGATTTGTTTCCCTTAAAATTGTTTTAACGTCGACCACAGTTGCTATGCTACTGTCTGTTGCTAATATTTTTCCTGTTTATTCAAATTCAGGGTATTACTATGGGTATATAGTATCACGTCAAGCCAGATTGTTATTTATTAAAGAAAACCATATATCTTATATGTACAAGACATTTGATAAACTTTACAAAATGACTCATAATTTTCAAAAGATATCTTGTACAACTGTTCATTATATAAAATATATTTTATTTTTGGAGGGTGTTTCTTTCTTTTTATGTTGTTTTTAAAGATAACTGATTTTGTTTTCTTTCCTTTTTTGTTATTGGTTAACATATAGGTTACATATTTTATAAGTTATATATTTTATTAATTATCATATATGCAACTGCAATTATGTTCTTTTATAATTTTTAAACATGTTTTACATAATTTACAAGACAACTTATATAGCATGGGAGATCTTGTACACTTTAATAGAATATCTAAATTAACTGTTTATAAATATTGATTTATATCTCATATAATATTTTTAGATATCTTATAAGCTCATCATCATCATCATCATCATCATCATCATCATCATCATCATCAGTCCCGTAATCTGGAAAACCGTTGGGGTACCGCACAAGACCGAACAATCAGCTTTTTCCATTGCTCTAGATTTTACGTCTTTCTCAGTGAGTCGCTCAATGTCAAGCCTGTCCACTTCCCACCTCTTTCTCTGCCTTCCTCTCTTTCTTCTTCCTTGTACGTTACCTTGCAAAGTTGTCTTGGCAAGTCCTGCTAATCGTGAGACATGCCCATACCACTGCAGTTTAGGTTTTTTCACTGTGGTCAAGAGGTCTTCGTCAGGCCCAATGGCGTGTCTTATCCCTTGCCGTATTTCTTCATTTGTGCCACTTTTTTTGTATAAGACGTCGAGGATCTTCCTGAAATATCTCATCTCTGTGGCCTGTATCATTTTCTCTAAGTCAGCTGTTATGGTCCACGATTCATATGCGTAGAGAAATATGGAGATCACCAGTGAGTGTATCAGTCTGACGTTTGAACTGAGTGAGATGTTCTTGTCGCTCCAGACGGGCTTGTCAGTGCTGCTGTTATCTGCGCAATGCTGAAGAGTTCACCAGGCTTTGATCCTTTATCTGTTACAATTGCCCATAAATATTTGAAGCTGTTGACTGTTCTTGCATTTACCTTGGATCCAGATGTCAGTACTGATACCCTTGGTGTTGATGGTCATCAGTTTGGTCTTCTCTGCACTCATTTCCATACCGTAGGCTGCAGAGGATTTGTCGAGACTCTTTACTAAGATAGTTCTTGCTCATTTTTTGTTAGTCTATCAATGTCGTCGGCAAAACATAAGTTGATGACAGTTCTGCCTCCGATGCGGACTGTCTCTTCATGCTTTTAGGCGCGTCAGCCACGTTTTTCTCCATAAAGATGTTGATTACTGTGGGAGAGAGCAGACAGTCTTGTCTGACTCCAACTGTCCTTTTGAACCAGCCCCCAGTGCTGCCGTTGAAGTATACGGCACTGGTGTCCTTGTCATAGAGGTGCTCTATTACTGTAATGAGGTTGGTATTGATGCTGTACAGTCTTATGGTAGCCCACAAAGCGCATGCTATACCCTGTCAAATGCTTACTTGAAATCCACGAAGATCTGGTACAGGTACGTCTCACACAATATCCTGAGGTTGAATATTTGCTCTGTTTTGATGCGCCTTGCACTGAAACCTACCTGCTTCTTGGCAATGATCTTTCCAGCCTGTGGCTTTAGTCTGTTCAGCAGCATCCTCAGTATGATAAATTTATAAACTACATGTCTTAAAACATTTTATAAAGTAATATAAGTTATGTGGTCAAGTTTATAAAATATCACTAAATGTCAATGAATAATAGTGATAGTGGGGCAATTTTATTCGAGCAATAATTTCGATAATATAATCGATACAAAGTAGATACAAATGGAAATTATTTTATAGTTGATTTAACGCTTTGTGGGCTAGCATAAGACTGACAAATAATGATGAGGTACAATTTTAGAAAAATGTAAATGAAATTCGACAATTTCATAATGACTGCATTATTTATGATTTGGTGATTGGGACTTGATATTGGACAAGGAAGAGGATTTAGAAAATTATCAAAATATAAATAATCCAAATGCACAGAGAACAGAATGATAAATTTGCTTGATATGTTAGAGTTAATATATTTTAAGGAGGATTTTTAATGAAAACCAAAAATAAATTCCATGGCATCGTACAAAGTTATTGACAACAAGATCCTTTAGGTATTTTTACTTGATATTCAAGCGATTTAAGTGTATATGTTCTTAGAAATTTGTATTTACCATGAATCATTTTAGAAAGGAGATTTGGAAAGAATGTTAATGGGCGATGGGCTTTTTGAAGACGGATATATCTTTATTATGGGATAAAGAGCATATTTAAATAGGAATTTATGCAATATATGAAGTAAATAATACTTACTGTCGCAAATCATGTCAAAGACACTAAACTTAAGAATCTTAGTGTTCGTAAATCCGATAAGTTATTTTCAGATACCATTTTATTTATAATTATTGGCAACATAATAAAATGCTTCATTTACGAAAACAAAAGAAACTTAAAAAGACACTGAATATTTGGAAAATTAAATTCAAAAATTACTATACCATGAGGAGTGAAAAAAGAAAAAGACTTGGATAATGAGAAATAAGAAAATCCAAAGGATAATGCTAATATCAAAAGCAATATATTTGTATGAGGGAGGGGTAACCAACTACATATTTTTTTTCATTTAAAAAATCAAAATGTATTAAATTTTGTTCAAATTTCGAAATTTTGATTCCAATTTTCATTGTTTGTGTGTTTGTATTTTTAACTCAGCTTTAACAATTTTTTCAGTCATATCTTTACTGTCTCCAATATGGTTGTGTATAGTGATGTCTAACACTAAGACATCATGTCGCTAACATGCAGCATCGTGTTCCACCCATTTATATTCTCCTGACACCATGCCGACCAGTCCTAACACTAACCTTTTAATACTGAGCGTCTAGCGAGGCTGTTGCCAGTACCATTTTTACAGGCCTGGCCCTAGGATGTGCCGAGCCCAAGGCAGAAAACGAGGTCCAAGGCAGCCGTGCGTGCATTTTTATAAGTCTTTAGTATGACTTGGCCGGCGTTCGAACCAGCGACATCCAACACCTGAGGCTGGCGCTCTAACCACTTAGGCCACCGGAGCTGTTCAGATTTTTACTAGATATTTTAAAGCTGAAATATACTTCAAAAGTGAAGCAGAACAATATAAGTATTATACAAATAGTCAGTTGTTGTTGTAATAAGGTTTCACGCCATTTTTGAGCACAGGATATCCAATACACGGCGGCAAGTATAAATGGTCGAAGAAGAACCCTGAAAAACCCCACAAAGAACCACCGACCCACGAGAAGCTACGGACAAGCTTTCTCGCGTACCCACACTGGCCAATCCCGTGGCTCGAACCCACGCCGACAGAGGTGAGATGGCAGTGATTCTAAACGGTGAGACAAATGGTCACATATGTATAAACATTTTAATACGTAATTATTCAGACTCTGTTTGATTAATGTTTTACATATTGTACATCTTTCACATATTGCACATCTAAACGTATTGTACATCCTTCAAATTGTGTACATCCATCAAATATGGTACAACTTTCACATAGTGTAATCCTTCATATATTGTGCATCCTTCACATATCATACAGTCATCTAATTGTGTACATTCTTCAAATACTGAAGGACCTTAACGCATTGTACTGGTACGTGTTTAGGCTCGTTCAAAAGTAACAAAGAAAAGACTGAAGCCAACAAGCTTTGTAACAAAATAATTTACTTCCTTAGAAAACAAGGTAAAATTAAGAAAAGGACCTACGATTTGTGAATATAATCCAAAATTAATCCTAGAATGAATAATATTAGTCATATCACTAAAATGTTCTTATTAAATCAAGGTTCGAATCCCGATGAAGTTCCAATATGAAAGCAATATTTTACTGATGTGTCAACAGTTCTTCGTTGAATTTTATGAATCAAGAATAACATTTCGGCTATAGAATTCCGAATAATTTCCAATAACTGTCTTTGCTAAGAATATTGATGAAAAACACATATTTCCAGGAAAAATAAATTATTTTTAAAAACAATTTCAAATCAGCTGGTTACAACAAAAAATACCTTTGAGCTCCAAAAGGTAAGATTTAAGACTGCCTGAAAAACACTATGAACGTCAGTTTTACACACAATTTTTGATCACTTGATGGGGGTCACGTGGACACTTAATTTGAATGGCGCAGAAAGCCCATAAAACAATTGACACTTACACCGTAGACGAATTTGGTTGTACCGAACGAATCTTACTATAAAATTCATTAAGCAAAAAATAATAAAAATTTGTTTACAAAAGAAACAACACGTGGGTCGAACATGACCTTGATAATGACCAATTATTTTTACTCAGTGTTTACAAATTCAGAACCAAGGTAAAGAACTAGGTCGGCTAAAATACAATGAAGCAATAAACTGCGTGTTTATAAGGTCAAAACAGAAAAGTTAATTTTTCAAACTAAAAGTCAAATCAAGTGAATAAAGTTATTAGAAAGACATGCAATGAAAATAAAAATTAAAATAAAAGAAAATTTTAAACAAAGACAAAATAATTAAATTACATATACGTAACAGTACTTCTTTAAAATACTGTACATTCTTCACATACTGTGCCTTATTCTTATAAAATAAAATATCAGATAAATTTAACTTTCATAAGTTACTTGATATGCTAGTGTAGAAATGTACACAATGCGTGGTTGCCAGTCTCAGACTATTTACACTTACTGTGATGTTTTGCTTTTTATGCATTTGTATGTGTCAATTTTAATGTCTCTTCATTTGCAAACTATATTTCTATCTCCTGGTTCTAATATAAATAAAAATTAAACAAAAACATTCTAAGATATCTCATACATTTTTATAAGTTGTCTCGATACGATATTTCGTATATTCTATTTCTGATCTTTTAAAAGATATCTTAATTTAAATTATATGCAATATATCTTTAAAAGTTAAGAGAATTTAAAACAAACAAAGACATAATCAAATTACACATACGTAACAGTACATCTTTAAATAGTGTACATTCTTCACGTACTGTTCCTTCTTCTTATAAAATAGATAAAATATATCTTATATAATTTACGAGATATCTTATAGCGTCTATAAGCTATATTGTACACAGTAGTTGATATGATCTTTAGTTTTTAAAACAGCTATTAATTTTTTGACCATGTTCTAAGCATTAAAAATTCAAATAAAAAGAATTAAAAAAATTGGACTGTGGTGTTTCCATGCGATAGCTGTGTGAAACATATTTACGATATGAAAAAACAAGAGGGACCAGATATTAAAAGTATATTCAGACGGTGATTCCAGGGAGAGAATGAACATTAGAAAAATTATGAGAGATGGTAAGAGTGCTGAGCATGACCAAGTGATGATGGAAAGTTTTCGATAACGTCGGAATGACGGAATGGACATGTCTGGCAGGATGGTAATGGACTAGGCTCAGTTTTTTCATAAAGAGCTTCAAGTAAAACGTGAATGTGACTATAGTGAAAGATGGCTTCAAAGGTTCAAGAAGCATCATGGAATTTTCATGCATAAAGTGTGTGGAGAAAACAGTCCACAGACCAAGAATGAGCTGTCGAGTATGTGGACAAATTTCAGAAGCTTGTATTGTCTGACTATACATCCCCGTTTGTTTGTACCCCCAAACCGATTTCAATAGCGAAAACGTTTAATGTGATAAAAAGTGCACAGAACTAAGTCAACTGAGTCATTGATTTATAATTTCTAACCTGACTGAGATCAAAAAGTTACTGATAGTGATATCCCCTGCACCTTTCATGCTTAATGGACTTTCGATTCTAACATTGTGCCATACTGCGTACACTATGGGTTAATTTATTTCCAACAGATAACATGGCGTAGTTCCTCCTATTTAGTAACTGCCTGATAATTCTGTAAATTGCCATAACGCTGAGTTTGGAAATCCCTTTGTACTCATGAACTTAGAAATTAAAACGGTTGTCAAATCCACGTGAAAGGCAAATTTGTTTTTGTCATTCTTTTCCTTTGCTTGATTCGACATTATAAATATCGAAAGCAGACCACATATGTAAGTAAATCTATAGTCCTGTTCACACCCCTTTGCTGAAAATAATCTTGTCCAGGAATTGGAAATTGATTTCGAGCATGTCCGTCTATTATATACTGGAAACTTCCGTTAAGCATGAAACGCGCATGCGATGACTGTCTTGGGGCCATTCTACCCACAGTCAAGTTAAAAATTATAAATCAATGAATTGACTAAGTTTCTTGCACTTTTTATCACATTAAAGCTTTCCATTATTGAAATCAGTAAGGGGGTACAAACAAACTGGTTGGTACAGTCAGACTATAGTTGATAAGCATCTTAGTCCTGAGCAGGTGTATAATGCATATGAAACTGCATTATACTGGCGATGTTTGATTGGTCCGGCAAAACTGTTAATCCGGCAATGCTTTGGAACCAATGGTGCCAGAAAATCGGTGGTTTACCTGTAGTTAGTTGTCACGTGATATTATGACGTCAAATAAATAATTGACTGAAAACAGCACTGTATCACGAATATTTTAGCCGAACTCGACTAATTGCTATGATCGATATGAGATTTAGCCATGTCAGTTCGAGCCCTTAGTCTGACGTGAGCAAGCGAAATTTTTTGCGAGTTAGGATGCTCCATTACATAATACTGAATTACTTTTCTATGCCTTTTTCTGGCCGTTTATTTAGTGCTTTATCAAAAGTATAAAATAGCCTTCGCCTCTTGCCTTCAATACGGCCGTCATTAGATGTACCGATGAATAGCTACGGTCGTACTGTTTCATGAGCGCACTAATCGATACAAAACAATTTGCTGATTACATTCGGTTAAACATTATTAGCAAGCAGTAGCGAGCAGCGGGCATGATAATATGGTACACCCGATCAGCGTTATCCAGTTCGCTCAGCATCAGCCTTTTCTTTTGTGCTTTATAACCAGTCGTAAAACAGTACACTATCTCCGAGCTTTTACTAGTGGATCTTTATCCTTCTTGTGATGCTCGATAAAAATGGACTGAGAAACTGGCTGACCTGGAGTGAAAAAATGATTGATATTGATTGAAGCGAAGAAATAACCTGAATTGTGAAGTACTCGACTGTTTGTTATTCATGTACAGGATTACAATGTTATACCGGTACAAACTAAAAATTGAATCTTAATGACTATTATAAAATAGACCATGAGAAACTTATGTTTCTATGTGCAAGTCATTCCGTTGTACATCAGATTTCTGTGGACACCAGGTATGTATGACGGGTCCTTCAGTTCGTGTGCATTACTGTCTTGAGGTATTTAGAGTTTCCAAGTCAAAAACATTTAAAAATGGTTCAGATTGTTACATTATGTTTTCGGGTTTTAAGCTCTTCTGGCAGACCACATTATTGGAACATTAATTGCATAAATAATTACCTTGTTATCCTGATGAACCTTTTATGGTAGGATACTCGAACTATTTCAAGTATTATTACTGTTTCAAAATTAAGTGATGTTTTTGTTTTTAGTATACTGGATAAAAGATGTAGATGTTATATCAGTCATTTTTGTGGCAGTGTGTCCAATATTGTAACTAGGTCGCTTCTATTTGATGTTCTTTAATACATTCGTAATTGAGATAAAGATAATGAAAGGAATTGTTCAACGGGGAAGAGGTCGAAACGTATCCAAACCGAAAAGTACCAAAGTCAAAACGTACCCAAACCGAAATGTACCCAAGTCCAAACGATCCCAAACCGAAACGTACCTAAATCAAAATGTACCCAGACCAAAATGTAACCAAGTCAAGAGGTACTCAAGTCAAACATCCCCAAATCAAAACCTTCCCAAATTAACAAACCTGCCCAAATTAAAGCAAGACTCAACACGCTGAGGTTCAGACATTTACTGTTTTAGTTTTATGTGTTCAACGTTCTTCTCAGTAATTGTGAATAAGCATTGATAATTTTAGATTGCTTTTTTGAATATTGTAGAAAAAATTATATTGACTGATGTAACAACATCTTGACCGTCGAAATTTCCTTGATATTGAGTGCCCTTTAAATAGTTTAGTTTGGAATA